TAGATCCCATATTATTAATATTTTATTAAATTATATTAATATTTATAAAAACTTTTTAAAAATCCAGGCAAATTTGCCTAGAAAATGGTTTAAGAGATAATGTAGTTTTTAAAATCATTTATGAAATGTAATACCATGCTCCAACTACGAACCAGTATATATAAGTGCTTATATACTCTTTTTAGAGAGATATACACGTCTTGCCTGAACAATATCACCTACTTTTGAAAATATCTGTTCAGAAGGCACTGAAATTATCTGAATGGTAAGAAAATCCTTAGCCATTTGTGACATATCAGAAAAATGAAGACTGTTAAGTTTCCACTATTCTAAAGGATTAGTATTTATAGATAATATAGCTTCACTTAAATATTATGTAAACTCATCTGATATATTTGTTAAAACATTAAGTTGTTATTGTTTTTGAGCAACTTGTTCTACATGTATAGTAGGGCTTGATATATTTTCAACAGTCAATAAATTATCTAATATTAGATATTCAGTTTAAAGAACGTAATTAAAAAAGTCTCAGTTTTCTTGAGTATTTAAGTCAACTGGCATTAACTCTAGTTTAATTTGAGGATCAAGAACAGAAGAAATAAAAGTAGCTTTATTAATAATATGATTCAAATATTTTTTAATTTTTTCTAACATATGAGTTGCTGCAACTTTAAGAAATATGGGGCTTGTTAAGTTCTGAATGTATGATAAAATTACATCAATAAGATTATCTATTAATAAAATAGAAAGATCTAACATTATATAAGTGCTACTTGAAAGTGTATTTGTAGTTTCATAAAATGGTTTTAAAAATAAAGTTATAGCATGAAGATAAAAATCTTCTTGTTGTGTAAGTTTGTACTGAGCAAGATTATTATAATGACTTATAACTATTACAATTGTTGTAGACATAGATATATAAACAGAAAGTATTTAATATATACTATTCTACCAGTTTGATATATCTTGAGGAATCTTATAAATAGTTTTATCTTTATTAACAGACTGTATAATTTTCTTAAAATCTTGTATAATTGTAGATGATGATGAATAGCATTAACAAATTTGCGCACTTTATTAATTGATTCTTTAATTAGTGTTAGTCCTATAGTAACAACAAGATACAAGATATGTGCAAGACAATGACATGAATAAAAATATAAATTATATATTGAGAAATGTAAACTAAGTAAATGAGTTGCTAGAATTATATTAGAGCTACTGTCTATTGTTGTGCCAAATAATTTTATAGATATATTGTAAGTTTCTAAAATAGTTTGTAATTGTGTTTTAATATCTTCTCTAGTATGTGAATATAGAAGTATACAAATATCAATTAAAATCTTTTGAAGATTCTAATTACTATCAATTCAATACGCAGTAATAGCAAGAAAAGGCATATTTGTATAAGACATCTAAATATTCAATATAATTGAAATTCTGCTAGAAATTTGCTTAAAAAGTCTCTGAACATCTTTTTGCATTGAAATAAAAGAGCTTTGCATAATTAATTTTATAGTATAATATAAAGGTAACTCAATACATGCATTAATATATTGTAATAAAACAATTAATACTTTACTATTAACAGCTGAAAAAGGTAAAGAATCAGAAACAATCTACTCAGCTACTAAAAGATTAAAATATTCCTTTTGATCAGATATTAAATATTGTACTAAAATTGAATAATTTTGTATTTTTTTATCTAAATTCTAACTTGAATACTGTGTATCAAGGTGTTTATATAAAGTTCCTGTAGCTGTTTTCTTGCTAAATAGATTTTCACAAATAATACAAATAACCATTTCATTATTGTCTATTTTTTTAATAAAATATAGTTTAACTACTGATATTTTTTTTCTTTTTTTTTTAACTGCAAATACAGGAGTTGCATTTGCATTAGTAAAATTTGTAATTTTATCAGAAGTATCTTGAAAAGCTTCTTGAAAATTTGAAGAATTCATATGAAAAATTATTTTAAAGATAAAAACTAAAAATTCTCTTTTATTTATTAATTAATATAATGATATGTACAGATTTAAAAAACATTACAAAAATATTACTATATATTAATAATGTAATTTTAATATAAAGCATAGCAAAAAATTGACAACTCTTTTTGTAGATCATTTGGACCAAAGTCAGAGCTAAGAGAAAAACTAAGTTAACCTAGAAAGTTCATTAAGAAACAGTACTTAGAGCACTAAGAAAAAAGAAAGAGAACTTAAAAATATACATATTGTATCAAAAGAACAAAGGCAAAAAACAATCAGATAGACTACTTTTCCTCAAGTATTAGGTTTATTTGGTCGAATTCGTCCTTCTTTTTTTCCAGTCTTGACTTAGCTTCTTCATAACTTTTTTTACAGTCAAAGTAAATAATGCACCATTAGTTTCCATTTATGAATTTTTCTTGGATCGCTCTAATATGCTTGTTTCCTCTTAGGGACCATCTTATTGATTTTTTTCTTTGTTCTGCGTTGTCTCTAAGAATCTTAACTGCGCTACCTTAGCTTTGACCTCTCCTTTGTTTCTGCACACTTCTGGGTTAGATGCCCATAAACTGCAATCTAGAGATGTACTACCATGTTTTGCTTTTCCTATCTCTACTAGTTGCTCTAATTTGTCTTCTATTTCATTTTTGCATGGGTGTATTTCTATGCTATTTTCTACTAGTTGGATATCTTCCATACTTTCTGGTGCTTTAGTTCTTTCTGCTACCTTTTCGTTGCTATTTTTCTCTTCTTGGTGTTGAGTAATCTGTTTAATATTTTCATACTATTCTGCTTTCTTATCTCTATCTGCTTCTATGATTAGTGTCTCTTCAGTTCCCATTTCTATTTCTTGTATTGTTTCATTAGGTCTTCCTACTTGTGTACTTGCTGGTTCTTTCTCTCTTCCTAAGACCTCTTTAATTTTGTTTATTCCTTCTATGAAAGCAGCTCTTTCTAGTACAACATGCTACTGTCTTGCCAAGGTAATAATATTTTTATCGACATTCATTGCCTTTGCAACCATTCCATCCAAATGGTCTGCTAGTCCTAACACTAATATATTACCTTCTTGAATGATTTCTTTACCATACTCTTTGGTAATTTTTTTAATAAAATACTTAGAGCTTTCTGTATTCCACATACTATTCTTTGACTTGTTTTGTAAGCTAGGTTTCTTCTATTTGGATCTGTTTTCTTGAAGTAACTTTGTCTTTTTGGCCAAATTCCTTGGACTTTTTCCTGTTTATCTGCGTTTTTTCTGGTTTCTGTTGTGTATACTCTCTTTCTATTGGTTGATATATGACACATCTTGTTAGTTTATTCTCAAATCACAGTTGTTTGTTTATACCGTTTTCTATATGTTTGTATTACAATAACTGATCTGCAATTTAGAGTAATTCCAAATCCCCAAAAAAATAACGAGAAAAAAGTTTTCCGTTGAAATTTTCTGTTTCTTGTTTCAAAGTAGTCTATCTAATTGTTTTTTGCCTTTATTCTTTTAATACAATATGTGTATTTTTAAATTCTCTTTCTTTTTTCTTAGTGCTCTAAGTACTGTTTCTTAATGAAATTTCTGGGTTAACTTGGTTTTTTTCTTAGCTCCGAATTTGGTCCAAATGATCTATGGGAAGAGTTGATTATTCAATATTGTATTGCTTTACTATTTTAAATAAAAGATTTGAAGAATTTAATGATAATTTATATATTTTAGGATATTTTTTAATTCCAAACTTTCATAATTAGTATTTAATAATTTAAAATTTTTAAATAATATATTAATTTTTATTTTTATAATTTAGATCTTGGATTTAAAACTAGATAATTTTCAAGAATTATTAAGATTGTAGGTACTATTTAGCAAAAATTAAAAAAAAATTGTACAAGTATTAATATTTTAGTTGCATATTTACATCTTTATAAAGAAAAAAAATATTTATATAATGCACTATATATACAAGGTTATGATAATCCAATAATTTAATAGACTTCTATTAAATCTAAGCCAAATTATCTTCAAGATTTAGCTTTAAAAATCTTAGCAATTGTCTCAAATAATGTATCTTATAAAAGAAATTTTTCTTTACTAAATTGGCTAACTAGAAATAAAAGAGTTCAAATAGATGTACAAAAACTAGAAACGATTACAAAATTATATACATATTATAATTCTAATACAAAAAAAAGAGCTTTCTTATTTTGCAAATGATATAACTGAAAAAGAACTTTTAGATATATGAAATTCAACAAATATTCAAACTTTTGAAGAAGCTTTAGAGAGAGAAAGTTTTATTAAAGAAGAATTATTAAATTTATTAGATAATTCTTCTGAAGAAACAAGTATAAGAACTAAAGAAGACTTAGTTTTATTTTTAGAAACAAGTTTAGATATAGATGATAAAGTTTTTATTGATAATTTAGAAAAATTTCTTGATGAAGATAATAATAATAGTAATTTATTATTAGAAATTAATGAAATTATAGATAATAATAAAGAAAATTTACAAATTTTAGAAGATGATAATTATAATTAGAATTCTGAAGATTTATTAAATTCAGATGCTGACTAGTAAGTAAATATTTATTAAAACTAAGTAATTAAATTTAAAATATTTAATTAAAAAATATTTATAATTTTAGAATATAAAAAAATTTATTTATTTGATTTAAATTTTTAAAATTGATATTTTTTATTTTAAAGCAAAGTTTTTTATTTTTAAATCTAAAGTTTTTATATTTAAATCTAAATTTAAATATTTTATTTTCAATATTTTTTAAATTATTTATTTTTAAATTTATATATAGATATTTTTAAATTTAATATAACATTTATTAAATAAATAAATTTGATAAATACTTTAATTAATAAATTAAAAAATAAATATTTATATGTTACTTATTAATATTTATTATATAAATTATAAAATAAAGCTAAGTCTAAATCATTTTACATATAAATTTATGAATTTTACTAAAATGCATCTATGGTGTCTTACACCTATGCATTCATTATCTCAAAAAACTGGCTAATTAATCAGTAAGAGGTGTTCTAAATAAAAATGTTCTGCGCCCTAAAAACCCTTCCCAAACCCTAATACTAACTTAAAAACTAACCCTTAGATGAAAAA